TTGTTAAAAAAAATCCGTCATAGACGGAAAATATTCGGTTAATGCGACCTCTGGTGCTGCCCCTTAATGACTAGGCAAACTAATGAAATGCAATCATGGCACTATTAACAAATGTGATCACAAACACCTCAAAATATCCCATTTGTTCGGCAAATACCAGACTTTTATTTTGGTAATGAAAGCATAATTAAACCCATGTTCATTGCAGGAAATGTTTGATGCGACTCTGAAAGACAGGAAGCAGAGTTTCGACTCGGCCCCCGGTACCACCATGTTCCTCCACTGGCTGGTGGGCATGGTCTACGTCTTCTACTTCGCCTCCTTCATCCTGCTGCTCCGAGAGGTCAGTGGAGGACTTGGCCATGTGTTGCAACTTGTCTTAACTGTAAAACCCCTTTTATATCTTATGAAATGTTTTGACATTTCTTTGTGGCTGCAGGTGCTCCGGCCCGGCGTGCTGTGGTTCCTGAGGAACCTGAACGATCCAGACTTTAACCCGGTGCAGGAGATGATCCACCTGCCCATCTACCGACACCTGCGCAGGTTCATCCTCTCTGTGGTCAGTGTAGTATCCTCCTGCTCTGCTCACTCTCAAACCTACTGCGGGCTAACCAGGCCCAGATCTATGTTTACTCTGATATGCTGTAATAGAGTAGAACATTTTCAAAACAAAATATTTAAAATAAAAAATGGTATCAGTAGAAGTTATTTATACAATATTTGATATCTTGTATTATTCCTTCTTACATACTGTATCTTGGTTATAATCGGTAGTAGTATTCAACACCTGCATTGTTTTTGTTTTGTCTGCATTGTTACATTCTAGTCACATTGAAATCGATAACAAATGTAATGCCAATAACGCTTATTACTTGACTTGAAAATAATTGCCATCAAAATATACTTAAAGTGAAAAAATGACCAAAATCAAGCACATTTCAAAGAGGAGCAATCGATTTAAAGTGTAAAATGATGTGTATTGAGGTTAACTGACAGAAACTATAGAAATGAAAATCCATTGATCCTCAGTAAGTATGAAAATAGGATAGGATTCGCGCAACGAATGCAGCCTAATGTGACTGGTTCCTCTGTTTTCTGTGCGATAGAATAGAATGAGCAAACATTGATGTGTGTTTTTTCTGTGTGTATTTCTCTAGGTGGTGTTTGGCTCCATAGTTCTGCTGATGCTTTGGCTTCCTATACGAATCATTAAACTGCTCTTCCCAAACTTCCTGCCCTACAACGTCATGCTTTACAGGTACAACGCTACATTGTCGTTTAACTCACAGTATTGTATTTCCTGTCTATTCAGGCTTAACAAGAACAGGAAGCAGCTAGAAGAAATTAGCTTCTGCTGTTACTGGTTATATTGACACTGTATGAGAAACTGAAGTTTGATTTATGTGTCGTCTCCACAGCGACGCCCCCGTCAGCGAGCTGTCGTTGGAGCTGCTGCTGCTTCAGGTGGTGCTGCCGGCGCTGCTGGAGCAGGGCCACACCCGCCAGTGGCTCAAACGCCTCGTCCACGCCTGGACCTTCACAACTGGATACATGCTGTAGGTCACACACACTGTAGTTTAGGAACAAATCAGAACAATGGCATGTAATGGGAGCCTGCTCTGATTAATACATTGAATAAATTAAATATGACTTTGCCTGAATAAAGAAAAGTGATTAGTTTTAGTTTTGCTTTATATTCTGTGTACCATAATTGTTAACAACATATTGGCCACAGAGGAACAATCAGTGTTCATATAACAGGGGTAAATCAAGACATCCAATAGTAATAAGACTCTAATGGCTCCCCACAGTGACCTTCACTCCTACCTGCTGGGAGACCATGAAGATGATGATGATGATAATCCAAACAACAACCCTCCCGATCGCCATAACAACAGGTTCCCTGGTCTGGGGGAGGGGCTTCACGCTGCCCATCAGGCCATTCTGCAGCAGGGCGGTCCTATCGGCTTCCAGGCGTACCACCGGCCCGTCGACTTCTCCCTCAAGGTGACTCACAGCATTATTTAATATCAAATACCAACAGAACCTTAAAAGGCCTTTAAAATAAATTGAATGAATGAATCTAAAAATATGGACTTAATTTGGATAAATAGTCAGAATTCTATTCTGTTTAGTTTTCCTGCACAGCTGACTTTCTTTGTTCCTTTGTGTTGTTAGATCGTCCTCCTGGTCATCTTCATGTGTGTGACGCTGCTGCTGGCTAGTCTGCTCTGCCTCATACTGCCGGGTAAGTTTCTCTGCCTTCCACCTTTTTTCATTTCATTTCCAAGTAATTCCTCACAGCTCCTATCTAACACGTCTTCCCCCCCCTCTCTCCCAGTGTTTGCTGGCCGCTGGCTGATGTCGTTCTGGATGGGCAGCGCCATGGTTCACGAGCTGTACACGGCGGCCAGTGGCCTGTACATCTGCTGGCTGTCCATCCGAGCCGCCACCGTGGTGCTGTCCTGGATGCCCCAGGGGCGCACCATCATCCTGACCAAGGTCCACGAGTGGAGCCTCATGGTAAAAATAAGCTCTGCCGGTATTAGGGGCTGGGTCTACAAAGCGCCCTTTTTCTTCATCTCTTCAAACATGTTTAATGAGGAGAGAGCGAATGCCCTCACATGCAGCCTCCTCACAAAAAAAGCGTTACACCCTGCGTCTTTTTTCTGAGTGTTCCAACGCAACATTAAGAAAAGTGCTGGTGACGTCACGTTACAAATTGGAGGACAAACTTGCTTTTACCAAGTCTTTTAGACTAGTTTTGTAACAAAGACAAAGAAGCTGTTGGCCGGGCAGGCACTGGTTATATTTTTACTGTTTTCAACGAGTCATTTTCTTTGTGTCAGCAAATGTTGCTCGGTGGACACAGGGCCTAATGTGGCAAATGGATGTTATTTTAATGTGATGTCTTGGTGCAAACAGATCCTAAAGACCCTCGTTGTGGCCGTGCTGTTGGCCGGGGTGATTCCTCTGCTGCTGGGTCTGCTGTTCGAACTGGTCATCGTCGCTCCTCTCAGAGTGCAGCTGGACCAGACGCCTCTCTTCTACCCCTGGCAGGTACGGCTAGAGTCTGTATGCATTTAAATATGTGGGATGAAACCACCTGATAGTATACATTTTACATTTTTCCTGCTTTCTCATCTTGGCATTTCAAATTCAATGTATGGAGTATGGAAACTTCACATTTGTAAATAAATGTCAGGCTAGATCAACTTTTTTCAAAAATGTTCCTAATACATTCCAGTTTGACACCTTTTTTTTCTTAAGGCTGCTCATTTCAGACGGCCTCAGCGCAGTGTTACTGCCCTGAGGCCGTACTGTTCGGACAACCCTCATTGTGTCTTGCTTAATTGATTGTGTGTCTGTGTGTGACAGGACTGGGCCCTGGGCGTGCTTCATGCTAAAATCATCGCTGCCATCACACTGATGGGCCCCCAGTGGTGGCTCAAAACCGTCATCGAGCAGGTCCGTCTCACATCCTTCCAGCTTTATTCAATTGTGAAACAAACTGAAACACTGACCTTTAAATACACTATGCGGATTATAAAAAGGAAATATTTCTTTTCATGATCCATTTAGAACACTGTTTAATCAAAGATGTTTAAAGCTGTCGATAGAAGCAGATTCTAAGATGGAAATGTCACTTTCAAGCACAGAAGTATTTTAACTGGCATTGGAATGAAGTAAAGCAACCAATCAGCAGTTACTCCTCTTTTTCCTACAGGTGTACGCTAATGGTATCCGCAACATCGACCTCCACTTCATCTTGCGGGGTCTGGCGGCCCCCGTCATCTGCGTCCTGCTGCTGTCTCTCAGTGTTCCCTACACCATCTCTATAGGCATCACACCACTTCTTGGTGAGTCTATATGTATGTACAGGCGTCTGTGTTGATCCACTGTGCGAGCTAAAGTCTAATTCGTATTTGTTTTGTCTTTCATTTACTATATAACATCAGTTCCTAGAGTAATGACGCGTCTCGTATTCCTCTGTAGGTGTGACACCAGAGATGCAGACGCTGGTGGAGCGGAGGATCTATCCCCTCCTGATGATGGTGGTCATTCTGTTGGCCGTCCTGTTCTTCCAGATACGACAGTTCAAACGCCTCTACGAGCACATCAAGAACGACAAGTCAGTATATTTTTTATAACATATAAAAAACAGTGAAGGCAAAGAAGCTCAAGGAGCTGTTTGATTCACGCATTTCCGCCAATAAGGCTATGTGATAAGGCAACATGTGTATATATATCGTGATGTAGGGAAAGTCAGCATTGCTCTTGACCATAAAGACTCCCGAGTCAGGCCGAGTTAAAAAGGGAACAAATGACCTGGAATCTGGAGTTGCCAAATGAAAGTCAGTTACTAAAAAGCATCAGCACGTAGGATGTATTTTTAATAATGTATTTATTGGGCCAGCAATTAGACCCATCCCCTGACAGAGCAGGGGATGGGTCTAATTGCTGGTTTTTGTGAAGCAGAATCTCTTAGCTCATTTAGGAAGATGTGAAAAATAGTTTTCCCTGCATAATGCATACGCAACAGAGCACACTGTTTTGTTGAACTTTAGGCATGTGGGAAACAAAGTTGTGGCCCAGGGGGAACATATAAATAAAGGGATTTTACCAGTCTATAACATCAGAAAATAAAAAGCCCTCTAACAAGAATAAAAAAACATTTCAGCTTTACAACCAGCGAAGACGTGCATGTACTTTACTAACGATGTTAAAAAAGGATTTGCTCACAACTTTTCCTGTTCCTCCAGATACCTGGTGGGGCAGCGTCTGGTGAATTATGAGCGCAAGAACGGCAGGAGGATGTCCACCTCCTCGCACAGCTCCCCCTCTTAAACGCTGGAGCTGACTCGCTCTGCACAGCGCTGAGATCTGAGTTTCCCTCAGCTCCCGTGGTGAAACTTTTTTTATAGTTTGCTCCGTGCTTGGCTGTCAAATGCCAACTTCAAACAATCTCTAAACGTTCACCTGCAGCCTAGTCTTCTTATTCAATTACTGCTGTGAGACATTGAGGAGTGAAGACAAACAATTCTTCATGGAACATTTCAATTACGATGAGCTCATCACAAAAGCTGTGGACTGTCCGCCCTGTTTAATGTGTTTTTGTCTGAGCTGTCATTTTATAATTTTTTTAATAGGTTTGAAGTAAGGTCAGTTGAGCACAGCTTTTACCTCAGATTGTTCTTCCCTTTGAATGCGTGTGGTGAAATGTCGTCCAGCTCACACAGAAGGGTCTCTTAATGGGACGTTTTTGACATTTCAGAGCTGCTGAGGCGATATTTGCACGGGAACGCCTCTGTGTTTCCGTTTCAATTGTTGATTCGTCTCAAATGACACCCTTCATCAAATTGAGGTTGTCAGTGATAATGAGGGACATGAAGATGTAGCATTGTGATTGTGTTTTTTCTTTTTTTAGATGTTTTTATTAGACGTGTTTTTTTAATTAATTTGTAGTGTTACATTTCTGGAGTGAGCTGTTAGAAGATAACAGATAAAGATAACAAGGAGTAAAGAAGGAACATTTTATTTGTTGACACTCTGGAAACAGCCGAGGACATGTTTTTTTCTAAAGATGTTCTCATTTTAAAAACAGTCTGGAATGTGTAGTACGTTCCTACAGGAGAGGAGAGGTCATTAAGTGAGGTTTTTTTACAAAAAATGTAACTGGAAAAACAGCCTCACAACATTTCTGCCTGTGTTACTACATCCAAGACTGACACTGATTTTACAGAAATATTTATTCTGATGGATGAAAAATATTGAAAAACGCTGAATTTCCCTGCGGAGAGAAAGTGAACTATACAGACTACTGCATGAATACTACTTACTCAAAAAACGTTTCCACGTATGCAGACATAATTAAAACAACTCATAACATTTATAAATGATTGGCAGTTACATTTTCCCGTAAAACTATTTAGGCGACTTCTTGTTTACACAGTCGATTGCTTTTGATTGGATGAAGCAAATTGTTTCCGAGCAAATGCTTAATCATTACTGAGGTCTTCACTAGTTAAGACCTTCCTTATGTTTCACTGGTGCAACCTAATTTAGTAAACTACTTGGGTTTCAAATAATTATATAAGAAATTATGAAGGATTTTACACAATCAAGGAAAAGGGTTTAGCTGGTCCAACCCAGTCTTACCCATTTCCCCTGAAAGCTAATGTTTTTTTCACCTTTCGCAGATTTCACCTGCAAGCCTCCTCTAAAGTCCGCTGCTCAGATTTTTACCAGCCTAAAATTATATATAAAAAAGAAAACCAAATGATAAAGTGCGGAAATCCTTAGTGGCTTATACGACTCTGAGAGCTAATGGTCAACTGAAGAACAATGTAGGAGAAAAAGAAACTGCCAAAACATGCATAGAAACAAGAGTGAATACAAATTCAAATTCACTTTAAGTTCTAAACAAGCTTCTGTTAGATATTAAAGGGGTACTCTGGTATTTAGGATTTGACCATGTGTATATGACAGGAAACAGTCAACTCACTCAGCACAGTGTATGAAGATGGTTAGCTTACGTCTGTAAATTGGAAAAATAATAGCCTGGATCAGTTCACTAATTAAGGTGTAAATCTTTTCACAAAGGGTTAGATGCTGGAAGTATGTCTTGGCAGGGGGCTCAAATAAAAAAGAAAATTGATGTTCGGATCATTTCAGTTTTGATGGACACTTGGGTGATCCCAATGCAAGTTTCAGAACTTTCAGTCAGAAGTTATATTTCTAATCACTCTAAAATACAGGCATACATAGCATTGTTTAAATGAAAATAACGAGCATTAGCCATTTCTATCAAACTGCCAATAGAAACAGTCACAGATCTTATTCTCCAACAGGTTCTTTCTTCTCCACTTTTATTTCTTAAGGGGGACAATAATGGTCTGGTTGTAAAGTTGAGCTTTTCTCATGCAATTGTTTGAATGTGTTGCTGCACTTTATACCAGAATCCATTGAAACACAATCAACACATTTGATTTCCCTCCCACTGACACACAAAGATAAATCAGTATTTCACTGTGGTGATTTTGCACAATGGGTTTGATTTAAAAGATGATCTGTTTTTGACACTGCATTTGTGTTTCATTAGGAGTTTAGCAAACAACCTGATATGCTATTGATATGGATTGTAAATGATGTTAACTTTAGTGCCGACGGCTGTAGTGCTGCTTTGTGGAATGCTCACATTAGATACATGATGCTATAAAGTGACCTTTAGGTATCTTCCTGAACTGAGCTGGACACTTCGCATTTTGGTCTTCAATTTCTGGAAGCAAATGATTTCTATTTTTATATGTGCAAAAGAAGGCAGTGGCATGTACTGTATCATAGAGGTATATGCTTTAAGGTCTATCAAATGTTGATTCAGTAATATGAAGCAATAAAAACATTGTTGAAATTATTTTGAAGAGTTTCAGTTTTTGCCTCATTAAGGGCAATAATATCCTAAACAAAAGATGGGTGTTTACTTTTTGGCTTGGATCTGTGGATCCCAATGTTGTTGTTACGCCCACAAGGGGGTTGACATGTATGTCATGTTAAGAGTGGTGAGATGATTAGAGAAAGAAAGTGGAACTAATATTTCCTGCAACAAAGAACCCATGTTCTTTTATGACCTTGCTTTTTTTTCTCTTTGTAAATCATTAGATACGTATCCACATCCCTCTAAAATGGTTTTTAAAAATATTGAATCTGCGAGGAAAAATTACTTGTATATTGTTACATTCCCCAAAACTTCACAGGGTAAGAGCAGTAACAAAAAGATAAACGGGAGGAAAAAAGAAAGCGAGAAAATTGAATTGTTTAAAGGGACCCTTTTTATCCTAATTTTCAGGTTCATGTTAGCAGAGCCCAGTCTGCCCTTGGGGAGGGGGGAGGAGGAGGGTTGAGTGTGTGAGAAAGATACTCCCTCTGGCGTGAACTTTGGGATTTTAGCCTTTTTAAAGACCATTTACTTGCACAAAAACGTATATACAGTGGGGCAAAAAAAGTATTTAGTCAGCCACCAATTGTGCAAGTTCTCCCACTTAGAAAGATGAGAGAGGCCTGTTATTGTCATCCTAGGTACACTTCAACTGTGAGAGACAGAATGGGGGAAAGAATCCAGGAAATCACATTGTAGGATTTTTAATGAATTAATTGGTAAATTCCTCGGTAAAATAAGTATTTGGTCACCTTCAAACAAACAAGATTTCTGGCTCTCACAGACCTGTAACTTCTTCTTTAAGAGCCTCCTCTGTCCTCCACTCGTTAACTGTATTAATAGCACCTGTTTGAACTCCTTATCAGTATAAAAGATACCTGTCCACAACCTCAAACAGTCACACTCCAAACTCCACTATGGCCAAGACCAAAGAGCTGTCAAAGGACACCAGAAACAAAATTGTAGACCTGCACCAGGCTGGGAAGTCTGAATCTGCAATAGGTAAGCAGCTTGGTGTGAAGAAATCAACTGTGGGAGCAATTATTAGAAAATGGAAGACATACAAGACCACTGATAATCTCCCTCGATCTGGGGCTCCACTCAAGATCTCATCCCGTGGGGTCAAAATGATCACAAGAACGGTGAGCAAAAATCCCAGAACCACACAGGGGGACCTAGTCAATGACCTGCAGAGAGCTGGGACCAAAGTAACAAAGGCTACCATCAGTAACACACTACGCCGCCAGGGATTCAAATCCTGCAGTGCCAGACGTGTCCCCCTGCTTAAGCCAGTACATGTCCAGGCCCGTCTGAAGTTTGCTAGAGAGCATTTAGATGATCCAGAAGAGGATTGGGAGAATGTCAGATGAAACCAAAATAGAACTTTTTGGTAAAAACTCAACTAGACGTGTTTGGAGGAGAAAGAATGCTGAGTTGCATCCAAAGAACACCATACCTACTGTGAAACATGGGGGTGGAAACATCATGCTTTGGGGCTGTTTTTCTGCAAAGGGACCAGGACGACTGATCCGTGTAAAGGAAAGAATGAATGGGGCTATGTATCGTGAGATTTTGAGTGACAACCTCCTTCCATCAGCAAGGGCATTGAAGATGAAACATGGCTGGGTCTTTCAGCATGACAATGATCCCAAACACACCGCCCGGGCAACAAAGGAGTGGCTTCGTAAGAAGCATTTCAAGGTCCTGGAGTGGCCTAGCCAGTCTCTAGATCTCAACCCCATAGAAAATCTTTGGAGGGAGTTGAAAGTCTGTGTTGCCTAGCGACAGCCCCAAAACATCACTGCTCTAGAGGAGATCTGCATGGAGGAATGGGCCAAAATACCAGCAACAGTGTGTGAAAACCTTGTGAAGACTTACAGAAAACGTTTGACCTCTGTCATTGCCAACAAAGGGTATATAACAAAGTATTGAGATGAACTTTTGTTATTGACCAAATACTTATTTTCCACCATAATTTGCAAATAAATTCTTTAAAAATCAGACAATGTGATTTTCTGGATTTTTTTTTTTTTTTTTTTTTTTTTTTCTTTCTCATTTTGTCTCTCATAGTTGAAGTGTACTTAGTATGAAAAGTACAGGCCTCTCATCTTTTTAAGTGGGAGAACTTGCACAATTGGTGGCTGACTAAATACTTTTTTGCCCCACTGTATATATATATATATATTTGTAATTTATTCTACTAAATTCATACAAAAACAAAGAAGTATAATTCATACACACAAAATAAACAAAACTAGTAGAAGCGGGAGGGCTGAAGCATAGCTTATGGGAAGTAGCCCTCCCGTGAATCATCATTGTGTGACGACCCCTCCACACCACATGGGGTGCTGTCTGGTTGTGTGTGTGTTTTGTGTGTGTGATTGCTGGTCCAAGCTGCAATCTGTCTGATGAGGCGCACCTGCCGGGTGAGCTACGCTGAAAAGGATATAGGAGCAAGCCGGATATGTCGCTCTCACTCCTCTGGGCACTTTCTCCGTGCCAGCCTCGGGGACCTGTGGCTGGTTCTGTTCATTACATTGTTGTAACAATTGGCATCAATATAACATTGGTATTATTGCGTCAAAAATATATATAAATTAAGGAGTACAAAGTAATAAAGAAAACTGGAGAAAAATAAATAAATAAAAGTTAGGGCAAGAAAAAAAGAAATGCATATATATATATATATATATGACAAACTAGATATAGGGTCATTTTCTGCACATGTCAATAGCAGTTTCAACTACCATTTTAGAAAATGAAAATACTATATATAAATATATACACATACACACAATATACATAAACACCTATGTTCAAGTGTATAAGTACACAAATGCACTCATATACACCAATACAAATATTGCAAGGCAATTTCCAGGGCTGAAATAATAATAAATAAGAAGGAACAAATACATTAAAAGTCATGTAGACCATATTAAATAAATTAAAAAAGGATTCTGGGAATACCCAATATTTGTTGGCTGGAGTAATCTGCAAATATAATTTTTTTTAATTTAGTTTTGAATTGTTTATGACAAGTGATACTTGAAAGGTCTGGGTGAAGTCCATTCCACGTTCTAAATGGGGCGAAGCCTGCGAGCTAGTTCAGGCAGTCAACTCGAGCACCAATGATACATTAACACGTGACGCGTCTCTCTTACAACCAACCAAACACAATCTCCTTAACTTGCCGCTCTATTTAAGCTGCCAGATCTGCCTGCCTCGGCCTCGCTAATGCTGCGGCTCTGTCACATTGCTGATGCGTTCACGTGCTGCTTGCCTGCCCCACCACCACCCCAGCTTCCACCTGTAGGCTCGGGGATAGTTACAGTATCTAATCATCACTCAATGTTCTATGTAAATCTGTAGAGTGATGAGGCCCAAGCCTAGACGCCAAACTCAACTATATGCTGCTCTAATAAACATATTAAGAACACGTGAGTTGTCTGACTGAACTCCGATTATGGATCAGCTGTGTGATTTGATGGTTGTTCTACAGGGTTTGCTACACAACCAGTTATGATGCCTAGTTGGGTATTTCCTGACTGTGGTTTGGAACTGCTTTTGAATGTTATTAGGCATTTTGTTATGGAAAATGTTGGGCATAATCAGTGCTGTTTTAAGCTTTACTATATCAACACATTTGAATAGATTGAGTTTTTTTTTAATATGGGAGTTGTGTGTTCATATTTACCAACACCACAGACTATTCGTAATACTTTTTTTTGGGATGTTATTGTTTTTTGTAGATTTGTTGAGTATGTGTTTCCCCATATTTCGGAGCAGTAGTAAAGATAAGGGAGAAATAGACTGTTGTACAGAGTTCTGAGTAACACTACAGGAAAAGGAAAAGCCCCAAAAATAATAATTTAACCAAATGATTTGGTGAAGTGACCTGAAAATAAAGTCACTTCAACAGCAGATTCAAAAGACAAACTAAGGGCAACTTTCTTGAAAACAGGAAATGGCACTGGCACAATAAGATATAATGGCAAAAAAAAAAATGTGTTCATGGGGAAAATCCATTAGTCACTACAACACACTGCACACACACCAACAACACAGATGCAAAGAGCTGCTGCAGCTTTCCTCCGCCCTTTATTGAGGCACTAACAAGGGATTGGTAGCACCTGGGAGAGGCAATCAGGAGAGAGCGAGAGAGACCTCAGGACTTAACATATAAGTATTCGGCCCAGGTTTACTGAATCAGTCTTGTCAAAATATGTGGGAATTGCTAGCTCAAGTGTAAATATAGTGTCTATCTTTTTGTTTTTTTGTAAATGTTTCATGGATTGTCAATTGTGTGTGCGTCAATTTGTCTCTATCACACAGCTTACACCCACCCGTTACTTCACAAGTTTGACTTCTGAGCAAGGAATTACATGCATCTTCTGCCTCCATGGGGCTAATAGAGCAATCGCGTTTCCCTTAATTTGTAAAAGGTGGTCCGATTTAGAGTAAAATAGACGAAAAGCAGGGTATGCTTTAGGGCGGGCTAGTTTGTTTGTGTACTTTGCTCCATGCTCTTGTGTCAGTTCTAGTTGCAAAAAACAAGATGGTGATGGCCAAAAGCCCAAACAATGACTACGTCGACTTCTTATACAGTCAATGCATTTAATCTAGCATAGAAAACTGACCAATTACATATATATTTATAAGACAAAAGGTATTAGACTATCATGTCACAGAACACAGGCCATTTATTTATCACAAATACAGATTTTAAATCTGTGTGGGAATCAAACATCAGAAGTTTAAAACAGCCCAGTTCCAATTAAGGATAACATTGTGATACTAGAAAGCGCAGCTCTCGGAACAGGATGATGGGTTATTTCTGTTAATATCCAATTACTCTCCTTCTAACAGTCTTAACAGTTGAGAAAGTAAAGTTTAGATTAGGAGTGTTGGCAGCACTGTGAAGCTAAATCAGATTTTTCCAACCCGTACATCATTTTTCACAAACACATTGGGGTCAATCTCTTTATGACGATCTAATCATGGAGGAAGTCATGATCATTGATTGTCCCTTCTTAAGGCGCTCTGAAGAGATTAGTGCTGTGTCGTGACGAGATTCTCCAATGTAACACCAGTCATTAAACAACTAGTGCAGACCTTGGTCAAAGAGAACTTCAAATCATTAATTAACCTCATTAAAAGTTCAATTGAAGGGTAGAACGGTACAATGTGTTTCAGGAAAGGAAGGATTTGACTATGAGAGATTAGTGTTTGTGTACCTGATGTTGGCTCAGTGTGAACTCAGACACCGAGACTGTGTCCTCGTGGCAAACCCTACTTGCATAAGGCAGTTGTCACGAAACAGTCTGACAGTCTGAGTTCTTGACCATGGGAAATAGATTCCGAGCACCCCTTTATTGGGATCCTCAACTACCATACATAATTATATTTTTGGCTTTTTTCTACAGCCCCTAAGCAGCCACAAAATCCGTTATTGCATGTTTACATGTTTTGAATAGAATTGGGATTTTTGAATTTGAATGACCTGATAGTCATGATGTGTATACATTGGAAACTTGAATGATGACCATATTCTATGAATCGGTGGTAACCTTTTGAAAGTGGGGAATTCAAACCACATACATTTAAATGAAATGGTTTCAATGCAGATTAGATAAGATAAGATTTCAGAATTGATTATTTACTTGTCAATTCAAGTCAAATAAGTAATGCTTGACTCCATATACATGCAGCATTCTTGCTTTCTTTTTAATTTACTTTATTTCATTCTATTATGTTATGCATTTTATTCTTACAGTAGAGTCAAAAAAATGTGTTCCCAAAAATGTAAGTCCTATTGATTTGAAGGAATGGCATTGCATTCTTAAAAAGGTATGTCTTAGGGTTCAGGGTGATCCCAGTCCTTCCACTGTAAATAAATGGTCACATGGTCGTTAAATCCAATTTAAGATGGCGGTGTTAAGTGCAACAGAAGAAGAAACAAGAGAGGGGGATGGGTAGGGCTTGCCTGACCCCTTGTACTAATGATAGTAATTCTCGAATGAGGATATTTAGTTCAGAACGAACCATATGAACGTTGCTGCATTAGCATGAATGTTCAGGGATTTGTTGCATTAACTTTGCATATTCTTAGTTGTTTTAACTTCCCTACTTCCTCAGATTGTTCCCTGTGTAAAACAGATAGTAAGAAAGAGGATTTACAAAATTAAAAAAACATTCCCTCTGTGCATGTACCGTCTATGTTCCACTTTATTGTATTTCCACAGAAAACATTGAAACTGTCTTGTCAAAGGGAGGGGAACACAATAAATCAGCTAGAGCTAGAGAGAGAGAGCGACTAAAAGGATTATCATGCATTAGTTCAAGAGAATATCTCTGTCATCCCATTGCCAGCTGTCGTCTAAGAAGGCTCAATGTTTCTCCACAGGGTAACACAATTAATTGCTCTTCGTTGTGACTGTTTCCAACCAAGACATCTGCTCTTTTTTACTTACCAGTGGACTACTTGAATTTAAACTTCTCAACAAGACTGCAAGAATACAGGCTGCCTGTCTGGGTAGTGAAGCCATGATTAAAAGCTTTGACATACAAGGTTTTGGGTTCAATGCGAAGTGTCACATGGAAATGGGCAGTGACTCTTCAACATCTTGTAACTTGTCGAAATTATCATTTGGAAATACCGATCTTCATTGGAAATGAGTGACTACTTCAGATCAAGCATATGAACAAACCTTCGTTGATGACATTCTCTTGTGGAGTTCTAGATCTTCTTTAACTGGATGGTATCCTGAGGAGATTTATCCGAAAATGTTGGAAGATTAGCATGAGTGATGATCTTATGCCTCCCCTGTGATCTCCAATGAACCCCTGTCTCTTGGAAAACCTGACTGAGATGGAAACAGTTGGAGGTCAATAGCCTGGCAGCAATCAATATTCTATCGGGTATGTTAAGACAACTACTTCATCAGGCCAATGGACATGAACTCTAGGTCGTCAGCCCTAGAATTTAAAGTGTGTTGGGGCCGGGTAGGTTTTAAATGGTGTTAATAACAGAGGAACTTAGTGAAGTTTCAAAGATTCAGGAGAATGGAGTTTCCGGAGGCATCAGACTTGGTGAGATTCCGTTCAGAACTGATAAAGGGGCTATGGATATACCTTCAATGCCCATCACCACTATTGATGAAATTGGGGAAGAGAGTGATGTGTCAGTAGAGGAATGTAACGAGGATCCTGAAGCGGATTTTACGCGAAACTATTGGGAGGATGAGGATGAGATCTACCAGGAGTTTGAGGAGTTGGACTTTGATTCCCTCCCGGATCACTCGGACACACACAGTGTTGCCTCAGACGATTCTTTCTATCCTCCAGACAGTCCATTTCAGACTGACCGCCCCCCGAGCCCTGACAGCCCCGAGCCTATTTCATTCTATAAGGCCTGCTGCAACAACAACTCCATCATAGTCAAGATTATGATCAGACAAGGAGTGACCGAAGAGGAAGTGAAAGAGACGGATCATAACAAAAGAGTAGGTCTTTGGATATCAATGCATTTGAATGAAAAGCTTGGTTTTCAGGCATTTCTGTTGTTTCAATTTTATACATTACATGTCATTTGTTAGACGCTTTTATCCAAAGCGACTTGCATACATTCGGTACTGTGGACAATCCCCACAGGAGCAATTTGGGGTGAAGTGTCTTGCCCAGGGACACAATGACATTCTGACTGCAGTGGGACTCAAACTTGCTACCCCCTGATTCGAAGTCCAGCACACTATCCACTGAGCCACAGCCTAACAGGCAGAAATGGGTTTCCATTCATTTTCTAATATCATAGGGGTTAGGGGAATACTATGTAGTTCAATTGTAATAGTCTGCACAGGCACTTAGAATAACTTATAATACAAACTATAATACAAGTTCTGGCAGACTATACGGCCACTAAAATATATTACACAACTTAATCAAGATATGAATGAGCCAGATGATTTTCATACCATAGTAATGGTCAAATCCTGAAGGAGGCTTCCGAGCAGTTGGTTAAGCTTCGGATGACAGATTGGTAGTTTAAAGTACAGAAAGCAATGACATTGTAGAGAAGCGGCTTGCCGTGAGGGCTCAGATTCTAAAGGGCTTGCTAAGACATTGACCTGACCTACTGCATGCTTACAGAGCTGGAGAGAAGGATTGTCCTGGAGAACTGTCACAGAATTGTCTTTCAGAAAACCTTGAAGTTTGTCAACACATGCTGACATAGACATGATTAACGAGGTGAGATAAATGCTATTGGCATATTGAACTAAACGCTAACTTCATCATGATCAAGCTTGTTGTGGGTATGAAGACCTTAATCAGCATTGCCCTTTTACCTAATTTTACCAACCAATTGTCCTGTTGAGTTACTTGTTGTCAATGTTGGGAAACTTTCAATTGATTCAGATCTCTGTTGAGTCAATCCACTCACTGTTTGTAGTGTGATTCAACAAAAGACCTTAACACAAAAGGATCTGTAGATAACTGTAAAACCGTGTGATATCTTTAATATTTGTTATGCTATATTAGAACCAGGCTGACTACGCTAACCTTCTACTTGGTATCAGTCTTGGGGTTCACCTACAAACTTGAACACATTCACGTTTTTCATCATTTTAAACTCTTAACTTATTTGTCACCCTAAGGACAAAGCTTGAATAAAATGTCCTTGTATTCCGCCTTGAAATTATGTTCGTGTCATATGTCACAGGTATAATATGTCAAACAACTCTATAGCTGTATTTTATGAGGTTCTTTATTAACACCCAGAAGGCATCATTTATTGTTATTTTTTGTTTGCGATTCAGAGATGCCACAGTTATTCTCCCTTTAAAGGATAGTTTGGTTTTGCACAGACAAAGCTGTTCATGCTCTCTTCAAAGCCAACATACCCCTTTATAAAAGAACATTTAATTGTACCTGGCAAAAGATGGGAGATGCTGGTCTACCTGGATCAGTCAATTTGTTTTTTATTGAGATTAAGGATGAAGGATTTGGCCGAAAACCAAAAAATGGCACAGACTGGTTGCTCAATACTCTGCTATCCAGTTTCTAGAAGCATGAAAATGCAACCCTTGAGCCCTTTGTTTATATGTGTTTTCTGTGAAAATGCTACTGACACTAACTCTGATTTTATAGCTGTTATCCTTTTAAATAAGAGCTAACCAGATAGTAGCCATTTTGGACATTTTTTGCTCAGCAAGTGACCACTCCAGTTGGAAACCCATGTTTACCCAGACATAACAGTATTTTATAGACTCACAATCTGTCTTTTTCACTCTGAAAAAAGCCTTCTACTTTGCTTTTAGGCAGCTCGACTGCTGTTCTTAGTTATTTGAATGAAAATCACTGATGATTTTGTCTTGGAAACATGGCTATAAATCCATAAATAAGCTATCCCATAGTCCCAGGAAACCAATTTGAAGTTAAACAAATCATAGACAAAGAGAGAAGAAGAGACTCAAGCACTCTTTTTTGTTTGTTTCAGTCTGGTCTGATTGTTGCGTGCTACCTTGGCTACATGGAAATTGTCATCGCCCTGTCCCAGTGCCCCTATCTGGACATTAACTGGCAGGACAACGAGGGCAACACCGCTCTCATTACTGCAGCACAAGCAGGTAAACACACCTCTTTAGAATTCTTAAAATGCCTTTCACAATGTGGGAGCACCGACACAGGTCTTTTAACTATTTTAGCCTGATTAGACCAACATATACTGTGTTGACATACACAGACTGAACTTAATCAAGAGCTTCTGCCCTGTCAAGTTAAAAACGTAGAGTTTAACAAGAATATTGATACCACTAACATTTCTGAACGAGACTTAGAAGCTACCAATAAGTAAGTGGTTAATTTTGTCACCATCAAGGAAATGATCATCCTCCCTATGTTCAGATGCGTTCTGTGATCTATTCCCCAACTACTTTTAGAGTGGTACAATTGATACTGTAGCAAATTTAGTACAAATTGGGTAAGGAAGGGTCCAAAATAAAGCACAGATCATATTATGAGGTCCGTTGCTTTCAGCTGCAATAATCACCGTTTTTTTCTGCCAATAAAAAAAGTACCAAGGTAAGTAATTTCATAGTGATGCAGCCATATGTATCAGACACAGCGGCCCGGAGTCTCATCTGCTAACGATGATGAATGGCTCTTTGTGTCCTGTGATGAATAGCTGCAGACTCCTCTTCATTTTCTGCTTCATTAAAAGAAGTATCGATCTTCCTTCATGACAAAGTACTCTGCAACACCTCAGGGGAACAGGTGACCAAGGCTGCAGTGGAGTGGTCACATACATATGAGGAGAAAATATTTTTTTTCCTGAAAGCCTTCAAAAACGGTAGAAAGTGTCCAGACGTATAATGGTAATAAATACAGGTCCTCAGATATGAACTCCCAGTATCAAGAGGCCTGGAATTTCATCATTTTATGGGCAAGGCCACTCAGTCTTACTTGTTTTTGTAAGGGAAGATTCACAAATCCATCAAATAAAACTATTATTTTGAATACATGGATATCATTTTAAGACTTAAAGGTCCCATGTCATGCTTTTCCGGTTATTACCCGTCCCCTTGTGTGTTATGAAGGTTTTTATGAAAAACGGTCTGCAAAGTTACAAACCCTCAAAGTACACCCTGTAGCGAGTAAAACCCTAACACAGAAAATACCTGTCTATGCTGCCCCAGAACGCCTCGTTGGAGATTCCAAATGGAACAATCCGTGGAGCCGTTACGTTACGTCCGCAGAGCCGTTACGTTAAGTCCGTGGATTAGTCCAAATTGACCAATCGGCGGACTTCCTCACACACACAATCTTTTCTCAGCTGCAGCTCCGCCGATTTCTCCTCCCTGAGACGGCCCGAACACACACACCCGCAGCCTGGCTGTGAGTCGGTGTGTGAGCACACACACAAACTCCCAGCCAGGCTGCGGATGTGTGTGTTCGGGCTGGGTTTTGCTGTGTCTCGCTGTCTCGCAGACGGCCACTGGGCTCATAGGGAGAGGGGGGGGGCAGGAGCTCCAACAAGCCGTTTAGGACAGAGAGTGAATACACATACTATACAGAGATGCTGTATGAGAAACCAATGCGATTTTGGAAAATTGCACAATATAAATCTATTTTAGTATACCTCAACAATGGAATTATGATCAATAGAAATGGCCATGACATGGGACCTTTAAGACTTAAGGACAGTTTTGGGTGCATCCGCTCAACTGTATTCTGTCAAAATACACTAGAAGCGTATGTTAAGTTAAAAGGAGAGACACTCATGGGACGGTTCTTAAACGTGCTGTGTTGTGTCTGGTTGAATCAAAAGCATAATATGGACCGTGTCACAAAAAAGTTATATAAGGTCATATAGTATGTCATAGAAATGTCACGGTTGTCACATTTTTGTTATAGTATCATATTATATTATATATAGTATGTCATAGAACAATTTTTCTGTAAAAACATACATTGTAGCTTCACATGTGTATCAAAGATATTCGTGAGGGGTCTAATGAATGTGATGAACGAATATGATTAGTAGCCTTTACGCAAGTATACTGAAACATGACGGCTAGCCTACCACTAGGTGCTCCTCCCTTACAGAAGGGAATTTAGCTGTACTGAAATGTCAGACATGGATAGGCCTACATACAAAACCTTTTCCTGGAAAGTTGTTATAATGACTGAAAAAATAAGTGAAAAGGTAGAAAGGTAGAAATGTAGAAAATGTGGGTGATACATCAGAATAATATTTGCCATTGCAAAGCTGTGTAACACAAGTCTGTGTTTCTCTCCCGGTCTGCAGGTTATTGGTACATCGCAAACTACCTGCTCAATTACTTTCCAGGGATGGACATGGAGAGGAGGAACTGTCACGGTTTCACAGCGCTGATGAAGGCTGCCATGCAGGGCCGGGCCGAGTGTGTCAGGACTCTCATGCTGTCTGGTAGAGCACACACTATGATCTATTATCTTAGTCAATGGAAGGCCACACCGTTTATAGCACAGCTCTACTCCCTTGCACTGAGCAGTTGTATATCTCCTTATGTTTCCAGGAGGCGATATTCAGGCTCGGGACAATGGCCGCCAGTTGACACCCAGGGAGTGGGCTCTCTTCACCGGTCGATATGAGACGGCCTATCTGATGCAACGGCTGATAGCAAGGCCCTGTGCTGAGCAGTTCTGTGACTCCTTCTCCCTGGAGTGGCCCATGTTGGAGGTCAATAAATCCATCATGACTACACTCGTACTATTGAATGCGCCTCATAATGCTTTAAACTGATGATTCCTGTAACGTTTGATCTTGTGCAGGAGCGGGCGGCCCAGTCCGAGGAGCCGAAGTCCTGCAAGAAGCGGTTGATGGTCTTATTTTCGTGCTGCCCTTATAGGTTTTACATTAATAATAAGGTAGACCCTGTCGATGATGGAGTTTTTGAGCACATGGTCCAGGTCACCACCAGCATCTGCTCTCCGGTCATGGCCACAGCTTGTCACACGGTGTGTCCAGGCAGCCCCCCGTGTCTCGGGAAGCGTCGTCAGGCCGTGCAGGAGATCCTGCGGAAGCAACGGGTTTCTGAGCTGAAGCGCATGGGCCCGGAACGACTGAACAACTACAAGACATTTTTCCAGAACTCCAAGGTCCTTCTTATTCCCAAAGTGCTGGATCGGAGGGCCAGCCTGCAGCCTCTGCTAAATGACGTGGCCACGTTGGCCATGAGGCGAGCGAGCCTCCTGCCTCTGCATCTGCTGAGGAGGAACAGTGTGCGGCCAGGCATGGTGGTGCCAAAATTGAGGCTCTGCAAATCCCCGTCTTCAAGCTACTTACCCGAAATACTCAAACGGAGAAGCAACCACAACCAGCTACAGATCCCCAAGTGGAACTACAAGATGAAGAGAATAGAGAGGAGGCAGGAGGAGGAGAGGCAAAAACTGTTACCTCAGATAAGGAGGAGATGAGGGAAATGGGAGTACTGGTGTCTTGTTCGAAAACCCTGACAATACTTTACGCAGTTCTAGGAAAACCTGAATGAAGAAAGGATTCCGTTGATGTAAATATAACTGAAAAGGTTCAATATGGGTTTCTCACCATTGTTGGAGTTGTTGCCTTGTTTCCTATTTAGTTCAAACTATGTATTTGTGAGGCATTATTAACATTTGGTGCTATGTGGGAGATACAGGATTTCAGGGGGAGACAAATCCACATGCAGTATAGTATGTGTTACTCTTGACAGTGTGTTAGGGCGATTATAGGCTAAAACGATATTTAAAAAAATACAGAGCTGGGGAAGGGGGGGTTAAGTGAACATATGGTTGCTTGACAAGTATCCCAACTAATTATGATTTCTTTGTAAACGTCTGAGTTTTCCTCCCCTCATCAATGGCTCTGTAGTTTTTTTGTAGCTATTATGTCCCTAATACGTAGTTTTGGTAGATGCTGCTACAGTAGGATGCTAACTAGCTGATATATCTGAAGATGGGATTCAGTTTGCTTTAAAGAAAAGTAAGTAAGGATACAACAAGAAAGAGTAATGGCAGATATTAATAATGGCGTGTCACTGCATGCTGTGGCTCTAATGGACGTCACTCACTTTTGGTACAAGGTGCTTTATCTATTTGGTTTTCCGCTGCTAATAATACTCCCTCAGTGTAAGCTGGGTGATTAGCGGTTTTCCTTGGCAACACGCCTTGAGGAAGTAAGATGTGCATCTTTCCTGAACCTCCATGCGACAATATTACAAACTTGAATGGGAGTGCTGTTCTAGTATTCCTTTTCAACCTAATCTACATTGAGGATTAAGCACCCAGTCTTCATGGTCTAATCTTGAGTTGATCGCTTTCAATCTTTATTACTAAACACAACTTTTGATGATGGAGTACCAAAACTAAGCAAGTCCAGTTTAGTAAATCTGAGCTGGCTTCAGAGAAAGACAAGAAACAACAACAGGACAGGACATCATGCTGGCTTAATACAGGATAAACAACTGTAGGATATAATATGTTGAAAATATTATATGTTGAAGTGAACTTTGATAGGAAAACATTGCCAGAGAGACATTTTAAGAGGGGGGAAATGGGGCTTGAAAAGTCAGGAAGGTGACAACAAGTCTTGGGATTTTACAGGTTGGAGAGAATAGCTCCGACACGGCCAAATGAAGATTGGTGGGTGGCTGGCTGTGACAGCAGATTGCCACAGGAAGGGATCAGCAAGCCTGCGGGAATAAGCCAAGAAGTCATTTTGCACTGATACATATACAACAGGTATTTGTGAGCGGCATTTGACAGCCGAGCTAAGGAGCCAGCTCACACAGGCTTTGTTACGGCTTTGTGGAGAAGTGGGGAGGCAGAGCCAAAAATAAACAGCTTTGACTGTGATTTATTGACTTCCAAAATAATCACAAGATAGTCCTCTGCTACACTGGTACTGTGGGCATCTCCTGCTCTGTGAGAAGTGGAGGTCCACTATATATATATAATTCATTATTGAATCCATTTGAATTCTACAAAATACAAAGAAATGCAATATAAGGCTACAAAATGTCAGTAAGCGAAGGGCATTACATATTTTGGTAAATATCTGTACCTTTTTTTTCCTTTGGGACTCTTTCTAATTAACTAGGTGTCTATGTTAACATTTCGGGGAAAGGTTGCAATGTTAGGATTTGTGGGCTTATTGCCATTACTGCCACCTTTAAAAAGGGAAAGACCACCTGAATTAAGAATTCAAATATTGTATACCCATGGCCTAGGGAACATGAGATAATCTCTCTCAGAGCCATAAACCAATACAGTAAACTTTTGATGTCATCAGGTAGCTGGAGCTAGACCATAGACGATGAATGGGAGATAGATTACATTTGAAAAAGAAAACGTACCCATTAACCTGGGTTTGTCATCCATGGCATGTTTCCTAATTCATTGTCCATGGAGATTTAATAATGGTGACATGGCAACTTTCTGTTTTGAATTGATACTGTTGAAGGGTCGATCATTTGCTCTGATATACTATATGAAATGCAACATTTGAGCTTTTTTACGAGCTGTTGATCACTACCAAAACCCTGGAGGCTAATAAATTCAATTTTGACCAATGAAAAAAAAACATCCAATATCTGCAAGCGGAAATGTTTTGAGGCTACCCAACTGAACTAACTTTCTGCCTTCACTTTCCGAACTGCAATTGGCGAAATCTAGCCCCAAACCCATTTTCAACAACAATTTAAAATGTCTAAACTCACAATCCTGGTATAGCTGTTCTTCATACATTTTAGTTGTATTTTTTCTACTCAGCTCTTTCTGTTTCAGATAATGAATTTGGTTCAACCTCCATATTATGTAGTTGTTTGATATCATTGCAACTCATGCTCTGATAAGATAATGTAAGTGTTACTGTCTTTCTTTAACAGCATAATACAGGAATATTTCACAATTTGAAAAATACTTTTCAATAAAAACAAATCTCTTAGTGACACTCCTATGTTAAAGATATAAAATGACTAAGACAATTTAGCTGCTTTAGCTGTTTTGGTAGGAAAACTGTATAGAAAGTTCAAAGCAAACTGACAAAGACTCTGGAGGGAGTCACGTGTACTGATTAACTACATTTGGAACTCATAGGTGTCATTTTGGTTGATGCCAACACAAGCTTAGCTTTTAGAATTAACTGTCCTAGGAACAATTAAATATGTTTGGCTGATCAAACACTGCAGATAGAAATAATTTACTTCCTTACCTCAGCAGGGATGATATAAATGTCCTGCAAGAAAAAGTAATTTACCTTAGATAAGGAAAAAAAGATGCACACCAGCCTTCCCTCTTTTCTGGTGCTGTGACTTGACGCCTCGTCCGTGCTTTGTTCTGCACTCCAACAGTGTATATGTAATGAAAAAGATTTGCGCTATCTTTTGGATTTCAAAGATAAAAATCTGTGCCTGTGGTGTGGTGATCTATCTGCAGAGAGCCATTCAGAAAAGGCCTCAGAGACTAAAATGGCCGCCACCCTGACATGTGGTGCAGTTTCTCGAATGACCACTAGAGAGCCCTCCTGACCCTTATATAGATTTTTATCTTATGCCATTAAAATAATTGCTTATGATCTTCTGTTTCTTCTGTTTTGAAGTACTGGAAAGCTTTCGGAGTCTGAGAGGCTGCACTAGAATCTCCAGACCATGTTCTTACAATGTATTATTCTCCCTTAAGTATAATAATGGAGTATACAGAGCAATTTACTAAGACTGTGTTCAAACCACCTAAATTAAAAGGGCTGTAATACTGAAGCCAAGTCTCAAAGCATTTCTATTATCTTGGTCTTTTCTCTCAAATTTGTCCTGGTCTTTGGTCCTTGGAAAATGTAATTTAAAAAATGTTTTTGTTTTCCTTCCCTGCCAAGCATCACTTGCTGGTCTTGTTGCACACTGGTATGGCTTTTCCGCTAACGACAGTGCAACAGGAAGCACAATTCTTCCATTCAGTCATTTACAAGTTAACTTCTTAATTTGTGTAGTTTTATGCAGAAATGTATCTTGCAACATTAGTTAAAATTACGAATTTGGAAATAATGTACATTTTACTTTCTTGCTCCTGTCACATTTCTTGATTCACGTTTTGTTCTTTCTGGCCCATTTGAATCTTTTTCTCTTATTCGTCCAAACATTTGTATCTCCCTAGAACTTCAGCACCATTTGAAGATAAGTGACTGTAAAATTAAAGCAATATCATTTTCCTTGAGACGGGTGAGTTGTTTAGCAAGTTTCAAGTCTTAGTAAATGTGCATAAGAAGAGGAATGCAAAGGCTGCAAAAATAATTTCAAACTCATAGTTTGTGCCATGCTTTAGGAATATTGCATACTTTACACCCTACATTATGCATAGTTAATGATGAAATATAGAGGACCAGAAATGCTTTTTTTTAAGCACGCACAACATTACCATATAGACTCTTCTTGGCAACAGAAGAAACAACTCCCAGAGTCAGAGGTTCTTCGATGGTCCGTTTATATTTTTTGGAGCAGTTGCAATCTGTTTGAGGCAATAGAAAGATTCACAATTCTCTTTTTAAAACACATTTGGTCTAGCAACAAAAAGGTTACCAACGTTATATCTCCATACAGGTCTTATAGTTAGGTTCTTCTGCCTAAGGATCACAAGGACATACATAACATTGTCAGTTTCCAGATGCTTACTCACAAGCACAATACATCTGTTCATCCAGTGTTTTTGTGGGGGACTGTTGCGTTATGAGTCCTTTTTCACCTCTATGATTTCTAAAACGCAGTGGCTAGGGAGAACCAGGGTCTGTTGTCATGTATAACAATTTAGCCATTCTCACTTTAAAAAAATCACCATTTAGTTTTCAGATTTACCAACAACAAATACTCATGCACTCATGGGTGGACTTTTGCTATTTAGCATAATTAGACTAATTAATCAGAACTTAGTGTTTTCATGCATGGGAAATACAAGAATCAAACTCGTGACTGTTTCCTGTTTTGCGGCCGATAACCAATGGTTCTCAAGGGGAACATACATTTTGTGCAGTTAAAATACAGACATGTTGGAAATACTTGGACGTAGCACCTTTTTGGACTGCTTCAGTGACAACGTGGATCCCTGGGCCCTGGTCTACTCTACTCCACATAGCAACAACATTACTACACAAAGTCGACAATTTAGTGCGTTGACCAGGAAATAAAAAATGTGAACAAAATTCCTACATGTAGCTGTTTTTTTTTTCTTTTTACAAGTCTTTTTTCCATAATGTTGCTGCTATAAGTGACATCCACATCTGCACATAAAAAGTATATATTTATATTTATATAATATATATCCGTACTCTATTAACAGTTTTGTCTACCATGAAGTTAGAATTGCCACCCATCTCTCAGAAAAGTTTTTTTTTTGTACTTCAAACATTGATTATTTTACAACACAGAAATCAACTAATTTTGTACAACTTTGGGGGAAGCCTAGCTCCGCCCTCGTCCGTCGCAGTCCCTCCGTGATCTTCGTTTTTTGTCGTTTTTTTTCTTCTTTTTACGTTTTTTCTCCAGTCCTGGTGCAGTTAGGCAGGTTTCATCCCAGTAAAACACAGTTTAGAAAAACCAAAGCATTTACAAACTGGCATTGTTAGAACCGCAAGGATGTTCAGCTGAACTTGGACCCTTTAACACGCCCCTAACCTTCCCCCTTCTACAGATGAGGGGAAGCAACCCTTGTTTGGCACGGTTATATACACAATGAGCACAGTTTACTCAAAGGAGGCGCTCATGAGAACAAAACGAGGATTTAGGGGGTGAAAATGTGACGAGATAGCCGCCAATAAACGAAAGCTAGCCTAAAATAATGTGAGTATTGTCACAGAAAAAGCTGCTTAAATGT